ATCAGTGTACTGCTGTATCTCTAAATATTAATTCTAGATTTTAATGCAGAGAAAAAAGACTGTATCAATAATAAGAACAGGACATTTATAATGTAAAAAGCAGGAGGACAGGTTTTCAAGTTTCTCAATTTGACTTTAGAATTGTTCAAAGACAAGTTCTAGTGTACAATAGGTGTGTAATATGTCATTTACCATGTTTTGAGGGTAGAATATGGCACCCCTAATGACAACTAGACTAGCATATAGGGGGGGTTTCATTAATTAATTAACAATTACTAAGTAATAAGATCCTGAGTTGTAGGTAGAAGCTTGAATGTGTGTGTATTGACTATGTTTTCTGACTACTGCAATGTTTCGTTTGTTTGTTATGCCTCGTATATTATACACTTTCTACTAGGACTTGTCATTTAGGTAAAGAAAGATTACTCTTTTGCTGCATGTCTTTTTATGCAAGATGTTTCCTGAGAAACATTTCTACCTTTAAACTTAGTTGCTTTTTTCTTTTTTAAAATTAGATTTCTCACATGGCCCATTAAGCAAGAAATGTAATGGCTAGGGAGAATGGATGGGAAACAATCCCAGACTCTCTAGGTTTTGCTATCTCATCAATCCTCCAGAGTATGAACCTTTAGTGGACATTTCTCATTCGCTAATATCTTCACAGTCTGGCCATTCTGAAAAACCATCAAGATTTCCCCCCGTAAGCTTTTCGTTAACCATACAACTGTTTTTTTCCAAGTTCTTGATCAATGAACAAACCATTTGGAACTATCTGTGGAATAGTTTGGAATCAACCTAATCTCTATTTCTCACTCCAGAAGAAGCAACAATCGAACCTAGGTTGGCTGCACGCAAGGCAAACGCCCTATCCACTGTGCTATTGCTCCAGACCCCTTTTTTTTCTTTTTTGGGTCACATCTGGTGATGCACAGGGGTTACTCCTGGCTCTGCACTCAGGAGTTACTCCTGGCGGTGCTCAGGGGACCATATGGTATGCTGGGAATTGAACCCGGGTCGGCCGTGTGCAAGGCAAAGGCCCTACCCGCTGTGCTATCTCTCCAACCCCTAAAAATGTTTTTGAAAGTAAACACATATGATACTGATGTAGGCAGGTAGATAGGAAAAGGCCCTTTGCAATGAAACAAAGTTTCATGGAAGAATTCTAGGACTGACCCAATTTGTGGATACAGAAAACAAAGACCTGATAAGACCATCTGCAGACCTGAGGATATAGGCCTCCTCCCCATGAAGTTCCTCTTTTTGGACCTCCCTTTTAATCTGATTAACTTTAGTGATTCAGCCCAAAGAAGACCATCACCGCTCCCAACCTCCCTGGTAACTTCCTTAGCAACGGGCTTTTACCTAGGAAGAAGCCCCTCGTAGGAGGCAGGTTGGAGAAACCCTATAAAGGCCACCTTGAACAAAGGAAGGGTGCGCATATGCTGCCTGAGCCCATGTGCTGCTTGTGCCCACGTGGCCAAGGACATGTGGGTTGAGCACATGTGTCGCCCACATCTCCCCTCTTTTTTAAAAAAATTTTTATTAGTGAAACACCATGAGGTACAGTTGTAGACTTACAAATTTTTGTGCTTGGGATTCAATTATACAATGATCAAATACCCATCCCTCCACCAGTGCCCATTTCCCACCACCACAGATCCCAGTATCTCTCCCACCCCCCATCCCCCTCCCATCCCACCCTGCCTCTGTGGCAGGGCATTCCCTTTTGTTCTCTCTCTCTTATTGGGTGTTGTGGTTTGCAAAAGAGGCAATGGTTGACAATCATGTTTGGTCTATAGTCTACTTTCAGCATGCTTCTCCCATCTTGGGATGTGTACTTCCATGCTTTCGTGTCTAATGCTAGGATGTATGCAGAGGCTCTCTCTCTGCCCTAGGAGAAGCCCATGTTCTCTCTTGAATATGTTACTCTCTCACTCTCTCTCTTACTCTCCATTCCCCCACTTATCCGCTTACACCTTTCTCTTCCTCTCCAAAAGCCTCCAAATAAAATCTGTTTCTTCACTGCTTGTCTACTCCTGAAATTCCTTTCTGCAAGGCGAGACAAGAACCCAGTAACCCTGGGTCCCGGGTGGCAGAGGCGGTTGGGTAGAAAGTGGACCGTCTTTCTCCTCCCTGCTTCACTTAATTAATAGGTGCCCACCTACATCAATACTGCAAGTTGTTAATAATGTGTTCCCTAAAGCTAAAAGATTATTAAAATTTACTGATTAGAGGCCAGAGTGCTAGTCCCATGGGGAGGGCTCTTCTCTTGCATGCAGACACCAAGGTTCAATCTCTCGAAACCCATATGGTTCCCCCAGCACTGCCAGGTTAGATTTCTGAGTGCAGAGTCAGGAGTAAATCCATGAGCATGGCTGGGTGTGCCTCCCAGGCCCTCCCCTCCCCCCCAATAAAAAGCCAAAAAGAGAAAGTTTACTAAGTTTGTAATCTCTGGGCGGCTAGGGAAAGCCCTGAAGGCTCTCAGCTCTCTCTTTCTCCTCTCTCTCTCTCTCTCTCTCTCTCTCTCTCTCTCTCTGTTTCTCATCTCTCACTCTCCAACTCGCCCACATTGGGGGTCTTCCTGATGGCCCATCAGGCTCAAGGGTGGAAATATGGAAATACCACCTAGGTGCCTTCCTCTTCTCTTTAGTCCCATAACTTAATTAACATCTCAATTCTACTTCTTAATGCTAGTTATTTTGTATGGACACAGTAAGAAATACAATGAGCTTGAGCTTGTAGAGTAGCTCTCCTGGGAACATCTTGCCAGAGACTCAAACTACAGTGCTCAGACTAATCATTCCTAACCCTAACAGGGCCCGAATCTAGTTTTTACTTTTTGGATCATGACAGCATTTGTCCATTACCACGCTCTTAACTTATAGTTAAGCATTATGGCACTTTGGCCAGGCTCATTTTGATGCCAGGATAGCACATAGCTCACAGCTTGCCCTGGGTCCATTCAGTCCCACGTCAAGACCCTGCTTTTGGGGTACTAGGAGTAAAGGCAACTGAGGCTTAGGTCAAGAGAATAGATGCCTCAGAGGAACTATGATCTGGGGTCAATTAACTCCCAAGTTACAAAAGTGTAGCATTAACTATCTTCTTGTGCCCATGTACAAAAGGACATTGCTCTCAATAAACTATGAAAAGGATTTAAAGGAGAAAAACAATATTTACAAGTCAACAGAGCATAAAGAAAGAAGTTACAAATAAACAGAGGGACGGGAGCACTGTGATGGGAGTAACACAAGAAACCTAAGCTCCCTGAGGCAAGGCTGAAAGGACAAACCAATATTATCCTACAACTAAGGAACATTAGGCATTTACATAAGATAAATATAGTCTATAAGATAGTATAAAAACAAGTCAATTGGGAACAGACCCTGACATTTGAGGAGTCTCCTTAAAAGTAAGCCAAGTATACTGCCTGGTGTGGTTAAAAACTCCAAAATGTCGAAACGAAACAAAACAAGAAAAAGTACAACTAGCTCTTCAGAAACTACAATTCCTGAAGGAGGGGTCAGAAATGACATTTTGGTTATAGGGACAGAGTATAGGAGGGTGACTGGATATTGCTGAGGCAGAGACCAGATTGAAAAAGCAGCATATGTAGGGGGATCAATGGAAAGTTTGAGTCATTATAAGGGAATGTATTTTTTATCTTTTTGGTTTTTGGGCAACACCCGGTGATGCTCAGGGCTGGCTCATGGATCACTCCTGGCTGGGCACAGGGTGCTGGGGATGAAACTGGGTCCTCCATGTGCAAGACAAGAGTCTTATCAGCTCACTGTTGTTCTAGCCCCAAAGAGGGAATGTATTGTTAAGAATTTGTCTTCTAATGGATAAAAGAAACATCTCTATTATTTCCCTACGTATCTTCCATGTTTCCATTGAGTTAAATATTTCGTCAGGTCAAGCAAGATTTCAGAAATCCTGTCCTTAACTTGCCCCCCCCCTTCCCCCCACCGGCAAAGTGCAGTTGCTTTTGAGCTGAGAGAATCCAGAAGACTTTGGTGGAGGGACATTGGTACTTGGTGGTGGGTCTGGTGTATCCCTAAGAAATACAAACATTGACTCAATGAAAACAAGTTGCTTTTGAAATTCTTTCTGGGTTTCTGGGAGAGAAGAATTGGGGTTGAAGAGAAGAAGTTCAAACGTGGAGAAAGTTTCAGAACATATTTGGCATGGATTTTCCCCACTGTTTTTGGAACTTAGGTTTAAAAAAAAATCCAAACAAAAATAGGCTGAACTCATCACTGCCTTGCAGAGTCATGACAGAGGCTGACAGTGATCTCTCGCTGGCACTGTCCGGTCTTCCTTGCCGTCCTCGCCAGCCACTCAGTAACCTTCCTGCTCATGTATTCCGGAACAGTTCCAGGCGGGAAAGGTACCCTTGAAAGCGGCTCAATGCAGTTTCTAAATACAACTCCTCTGGCTCGATAGTGACAGGACCGCAGAATCCGGTCACTGGGTCAAAAATCAATTCCTACCCCGAGACTCCTGGGTCCTTCGCCGTTTTTGCATTAGAAACGACCCTTAGACGGGTAAGACTCGAAAACCACCCCCGCCCGCGTCCGCCTCCTGGAGACGCAGCTTTGGGGGTCGGCCTCCTCCCAGGCCCCCCTTCCCCGAAGTTGGGGGATCCCCCAGGGTTGCTTCCCGGGACCCCGCCCCCGCGGAAAACGACTCTCCCCCGCCTCCCGGAGCGCGATCGCTGCAGCCGAGGGGTCGGCTCCCTTGCTTTCCTGGACGAGGCGGGCGCTCGCTCCCCTCCAGGGCGCGCCCCGCGGGCCCCGGGCCAGGTGGGCTGAGCCCGGCCGTGCTCGGCCCGGCGGTTCCGCGTCTGCGCGGCGCGAGCGGGGCCGCGGCGGGGCCGGCCGGGGAGGCGCCGGCGGCGCGGGAGCCAATGGGCGCGCGCGGGGGCGCGGGGCGGGCGGCGGCGGCGGGCCGGAGCGCACTGTCGGGGATGGAGGCCGAGCGCCGGGCATCGCGGTCGCGCGGCGCCGGGGACGCTCCCGGGGGCGGCGGCGGCGGCCCCTGGGCCGGTCGCCCCGGCGGGTCGCCGCCGCTGCAGGCGGAGGTGCTGGATTTGGACGAGGACGAGGAGGACCTGGAGGTGTTCAGCAAGGTGAGCGGCGCGTGCGGGAAAGTTCCGCGGCTGCTGGGGGAGTTGGTCGGAGCCCGGCGGGGGGCTGGGAGGAGCCCGGGGCGCCGCGACCCCGCGGAGCTGCCGCTCCCCGGTCCGCATTGAGCCCTTCCTCCCGGCCGGGCGTGCCGTGGAGTTTGCAAAGTTGGGATTTCCTCCCGCGTCTCCGATCCCCTCCCCGTCCCCGTTTCGCACCCGGCCAGCCCCCGCGACAGTGCCCGAGGCCCGGAGGCGGGTGGCCCCAGGACCGCTGCCCGGAGCGGCCAGCCCGGAGCTCGGGGACCGGGATTAGCCGAGACTGGGAAATGATTCTGGTGGTGACTCCGAGGCTGGGTGACAGGCGGGACGAGTCTCCCGGCCGTCCCCTCTTTAGGAGAAGCAGAGTCGTGTGCGCGCACCCAGCTTCTGCGTGCGCTGCTCAGCGTTCTCCCGAGGCGGTCCCCGCCAGCCACCCACTGCTTTCATTTTTCTCTTCTCCCCGGGGAAATGGAGCATCCAAAGTTCCTCTGCACTGGCGTTGTAGGAGGCGGGAAATGCACTCGGATTAATGGTGCACGTAGACGTGGTGCCTGAGACCGGCGGTTGGGATTTCTTAAAGGTTTTGTAGAAGAAAAATCCCTGCCTCTTCGGGGAAGTTTCACTCCAGTTTCTCACCTTGCTACTGTTAGAAGACTTGAGATATTAGTTGCTGAAAGGACTGTTGAACGTAAATGTTACCTTCAGGTGTTAGGTGAATCTCCATATGTAACTTCTGCGTTATTTCACTGGAACCAACCAAAGTTAGAACGTGATCAAGCAAACGGAGAGCCGAGAGATGTATATGAAAAATTCCCATTTTCCCCTTCTTTTCCCTTTTCCTCTATCCTTCCGTCTCGTCTCTTCCTTCCTCCCTCCTTAACTCCCTCCCTTTCCTGGCTTGGGGGTGGGGTGGCTGTTTGTGCCACACCCACAGTGCTCAGGCATACTCCTAGCTCTGTGCTCATTCCTGGAGGTACTTGGGACCCATACGGGGCGCCAGGGTTCTAATTGGGGTTGGCCTCCTGCAAGGAAGAACCGAATCCCCTGTATTATCGCTCTGGCCCACAATCCCCTCATTCTTAAAATGAGATGAAAAAGGGAGTGGGAACTGTTGTAATTCTAGATGTGCTCAGATCAGTTTGAGCCTCTTTCCAAAAGTTATTTGGTCTTTCCTAGAGTTTAACTTGGAAAACTGGATTTATTTTATATTCACTGGTAAAAAGTTAACACTGACTTTTTCTGTTATAGACAAATTTGATGTTTAGATGGAGAGCAACTGCCATTTCTTCACATTTCCTTCTACGCTATTAGTTTGTGAACGCAACATAGGGCTCTGCACAGGGAACCTTCCATTCTGGGGGCAGCTGGAGGGCGGGACAGGAGAAAGTTAGGAGTGGCAATTGTGAATCAGAATCATCTGAGATTGCTTTAAACTTGGCATTGGTTTCTGTTCTCCCAGATTCTAGAATTGCACTTTTAATGATTGTTAGAGGCGGGTCAAAGTTGAAGTTAAAGGACATTTAAAATTTATAGCACTTGGTTTGCTTCGGCTGCAGAGCATGCTGGAAGTTAACTGGGGACTGGAGATACTCAAGGTGGGATGGTAATGACAGGTTGTGGCCAGAGGCATTTTTCTACTTAAGCATTTTTGGTTAATTGCCTAAAGCTCTTTCAGAAGAAAGGAATCCAGATTTCCAGGACTCCAATCATTTGTTGAGATTTCTTTTTTCTCATTCTACATAAAAGTTCATTTTCCCATATCACTTTGTATGGGTAATTTTGTATTCTTTTTTAAAAGGGTAGACTTTAGTTCTTGGGTCTGCTGTTATGGTTGGTGTTGTGTAACTATCATTCTTCTTAGGAAGGTTAGAAAAGTGAGATGGCCTCTGTGGAAACTGGCCTCATTGATTAAGGTTGGTTAAAGTTGGCAAAGTGTACGTAAGACATTTTAAAATTATTTGTGTGTTTCTGAAATTTGAAATTTTCAACCATTAACAACAGTCAAGAGATAAGCAAATTCAGTGTCTTTTCCATTTAGTTTCTCTCTCCGCTGTTCTCTGTTGCTTCGTAGAACTCTACCCAGGCTGTCTGTCTAGCCTGGGATGGTATCAGCAGTTACTTCTATTTCCACGTTAGTCACCCTTTGGTATTTTAATATCTGCTGCTTTTATATTCCCTTAACATTTACACTTATGATCTTCCTTTTCTCTTTCCTCTGGATTATTTGTGGATTATTTCCTTCAGGGTAGGATCTTGGCTCACTATTAATCTATTATCCCTTCCATAATATAAGGCATGTTAAATATTTTTTATGTAAGATGCTATTTAATTATGCTGGGGCGGGGTGTGGGGGTGGGAGGGAAATGTGAATTTTAGTTCCTGCTACCACAATCTTGGAGTCCAGGTGGAAAATTTGGTGGGAACTCTAAATAGCAATATAAACTAAGAGAGAGGAGAAGTTAAACAAAATGCTGCTTCGAGTTCTCAAATATTTCAGTGAGGAAAAAATGATGTTAGATTTGAAGAGACCATAGGGACTACAGAGGATATTGGCTTACAAGAACAATTATGGATACTGGAAGTGGGCAGACATAGCCAGTGATTTGAAAAAGAAAAAAAGGATAAAAACACATCAGTAGCATGAGAATGGTGTTCAAATTGAGGGTTTCAGAAATTTTAATTTTAGAGGGGCTATTTTCACTGCATTTAGCGGTGAGTGTTCTTTTGGGAGAAATGTATTAAAATGCAATCAATGACCCTTTTCAGAAAAATTAAATACTGTGTCTAAGAAATACTAGTTGAAGCAGCATAGGTAAGTAGGTCACAGTGAAGCTGTAAGATGTTTATCAGGCACTTGGTAAATGATAGTTCTTATTTTTGGCCTTTGAAAAGTATTGAAAGAGAATATTTGAAAGGTGTTCAGGCCTGTGTAAAAGGTCAAGGGTCTGGGGTATGTGAAAGGTATTCAGGGTCTGGGGATGTGAAAGGTATTCAGGGTCTGGGGGTGTGAAAGATACTCAGGCTCAGGGTCTGGCTCAGAGTGACAAAGCCATGCCCCATGCACAGCCTCAGCTCTCCTTTGGTTTCCATCACTGTACGTGTACCCACAGACCTCTGGGTGTGATCTTTACCAAACCACGACATTCAGGAGCGTCAAGTAAAATCTTACAGCATCTCAGAAAGTCAGTGAATTTTCAGGTGCAATTATCTTCATTACCACTAGTCATTTTTGTGAACTTACAGAATGCAGATATGGTTATCTGCCATGAGAGATCAAGAAATATGCTTTTGAAAAATAACTGAGGAAAGGGAAATTCTGGAAAGAGAGGTCAGTGAGCTTGGTTTCATTCTCCATGTAAGCTACCAAAACTACAGAGCTATTTATAGATTCATGTTTATAGACGCTCCATAGAGAATCTAGATGATTAAACACTTACTTCTGGTTTTGAGTCACACTGGCAGTACCTGGGGACTGCTCTTAGCTCTGTGGTGCTGGGGAGGAATCACTTCCAGAAGTGCTCAGGGGAGCCATGTGGTGCCACGTACCAAACTTGGACCTCCCTCAGGCAAAGTATGTACTCTAGCTCTTTGAGCTCTTTGTGTCCCATGTTTATAAATTAATCAAAGAAAGAAAATATAATTTTAATGGTAAATCGTAACTATAATGAACATGTTTATTTAAATAAGACTTTTAAGAGAAATGCCCTCACACACACACACATACACACACAACGTTTTGTGTGTATGTGTGTGTGTGTGTGTGTGTGTGTGAGAAAGGTAAATTTTCACAGAAAAAAAGATTGTTGAGTCATCTAGCTCCTGGATCTCTGTCAGTCCAGAAATTCAGAGTTGCCATGGATGGACTCAGTTTTACTATTTAGTAATTCTTTTCATTTTAAAAACTATTCAGTAGTTCTCTCAGCTACTTAGAGAATCATTGGAAGCATGGGTATGAACTTTTCTCATTTGTTCTCTGTCCTGTTTTAGTTCTTACCGAATACCCACATTGGTGGTGGTCGTCATAGAAATCAATTTTCTGCAGCAATTGGTATGAAGAACTTCATGAAAGAACTGTTTAAAGAAATTGTATAAGAGTTCAAGGAGTCAGGGGCTGGAGTGATAGCACAGTGGGTAGGGAATTTGCCTTACACGCGGATGACCCGGGTTTGATGCCCAGCATCCCATATGATCCCCTGGGCACTGCCAGGAGTGATTCCTGAGTGCAGAGCCAAGAGGAACTCCTGAGCATTGCCAGGTGTGACCCAAAAAGCCAAAAAAAAAAAAAAGAGTTCAATGATTCAGTAACAAATGGTAGTAGCAAGGCACCTTTAGTAACACCTTTGCCGCCCTTGTGAGGGGAAGAGGAATGGGAAGAATGATGCTCGAATCCAAGGAGAGTTCAAGATGTGGGGAAGTGAGAAGTCAGCCACATTTACAGAGTAATGTAGCTAGAAATGTGCTGCTGCTGGCATTGAGGTGACGAAGCAAGGAATAGGTAGGGGACATTCACTGAGCTCCTTTCCCCCTGCTGTGGCTGCTACTGGGGTGAGCTATTAGGATATCATCCCTAGGGATCAGCTTCTAAGGGCACTGTAATAGGTGAGTAGGAAATAGGGAAATCGTTCATCATACAAATGTGTGGAGTGGATCTGTGGATAAAGACAGCGCATGACGCTCTCCCAACCCAGATAGACTTTCCCATCAGAAGGCAGGACCTCTGTCCCTCTTCTCGAATCAGCTGGGGGGTAGGGGCTGCTTTACGTGATGGTTGAGGTGATGTGATGTGGTTTCTAGGATTAAATCATAAAAAAAAAAGGGGATTCTGCTTTGTGTAGTGGGTCATGGTAAGAATTAGGAAGACCTGGGGTTGGAATGATACTATAGCAACTAGGGCATTTTCCCTGCACGCGGCCGACCCGGGTTTGATTTCCAGCATCCCATACGGTCCCCTGAGCACCGCCAGG